GTCTATATCTGCCATTTGCTTTTTTAGGACTTGCATGTGAAACAGCTAAAGCTGATATTGTAATAATAGTTGGCAATAAAGACTTGAAAAATACTAAATAAAAATTAGCTCTCAGATGGTTAAAAACTAGTATTCCCCCCAGATTGGTATACCTTTTTTGATTCACACCTGTTTTACCTGCATCCATTCATCGATCTTCTCGCTGATCCGGGGTCGGGCAGGGGTTGCAGCTTCAGTAGGGAGAGAATCCAAAGACATTCCCAGGCCAGCAGAGAAGTACAGTCAAACAGTTTTTTCCATGTCATGATATTAAAAAAGTTTGGAATAAAAAAGTTTGGAATAAATTCTTAAATTCAATGGTATTACTTTTTTTGTCTGTTTTTTTATCTGTTCATCCCACACTGATTCAGAAAATTACAGTTGAGTAAGTAAAATTCCTAATATTGAAAATTTGAAATGCTCTGTTTGACCAATTGCTTTGTGTTTTCTTTAGGTCTTAATCAGTATAGTGGTCGTCCACAGACTGAGTGGGATCTTAACACCTACAAAACCAAACAGTCCCTGCTGGAGGCTATTGAAAAGATAAAAAAAAACCGACAAAGTAGACAAAGAAGGACAAATACAGGTTAGCATTAAGCTCATTTTTCTTATAAAAAGTTCTGGGATTATTCTTGCTGATTTACTCTTTGCTCAAAACCAGACATTTCAGAAGAAATGGTGAGAGACATCTGTTGATGTTCATATATATACTTGGTAAAACTAGGCTAATATGACAATGTGTTACTGTACAAATGGCACATGTGTAAATGACTGGTAAATGAAAGTAATTGAAATTAAAAGTCACTTATGTATATATCTGTATGTATCACGGGACCTGAATCATCATTATCCTTAAAGCTTAACATTTTAGTCAGAATCACGTAATTTTAATGGAGATTCTTTAAAAACCGTCCAAGGCATCCAAATTAGGAAAGGTAAAAATTAGCCTGCTGACATGACATCTGATTTTCTTCTGTACAACATGAAGGCATTGCTCTGCATCACATCCTTCATCGGAGCTTCAAACCCACTGTGGGGATGCGTCCAGACTCCAAAAAAATTGCAGTTCTAATTACTGATGGACAATCTCATGATCATATAAAGCCTGCTGCAAAGAACCTGAAAGACACTGGAATTGAGATATACATCATTGGTGACTAACCTTTTTTTCCCCGTGTGGATTGATTTATTTTCAATCCTCAGACTACAACACATGAGTGGAAGAACTGTCTGGAGATATTTTCCTGATTTGTCAATAATAGTGTAAAACGATCCATGTTTGTTTCAGGAATTGGTGATGTTCATATAACTGAACTGCAGAGAATTGCTGAAAATCATTTATACCTTCTTCAAAATTACGAACAGCTCGAAAGTATAATCTCTAATATCACCAGGAGCCTCTGTACAACCCACAAAGGTAAGTATCATTTTCACACACACACGGATGGTAAAGAAAATCTTGATACCTTGAGCTTGTAAAAGATGGAGTGGCAAATTGTGAAACAATGAAGTAAGAAAAGTAGCTTTGGAGCAACTCAGTTAAATCTTAAAATCTTAAACCTTAAATCAGTACCAAATTTTCATATCTACCTTCAGCGACCTCTCGCAAAG